TTTTCATATTTTCCATATATATATATATATATATATATATATATATATATATATATATAGGGATATATTTTTCTTATGTTGTAGGAAAAGAATTATCTCATGTTGTAGAGATAAAAGTATAAGTGGGACCCACATGTAAGAGGAGAGAGAGAAAAAATGGTGGGACCCAACCCCTTTTTGTGTGTGTAGTAGAGATGTTTATCTCATGTAAAATGAGATAAACATAACCCATATATATAAAGCCTATGTGAGGTCATGTGAAAAAAAAAGAGAAAAAAGTCTCACGTATTTTTGTGTGTGTAAGAGATAATTTTATTTTCTACAATATAAGAAACATTAAACCCTTATATTTATTCAATTCGAATTGAACTCTCCTCGTATCTTTTAGGAGCTGGAATCACAACATAAACCAATGGCGGACCCAGGTGATTGCCATTGTCTGCACTTGCAGACATAAAATTGAGGGAAAAAAATTCAAATGGGATGTGTGATTCAAGTCAAGTAAAAAATAAATAAATAAAAAAATTGAAAGAAAAAAGGTAAAGAGTGGAGGAGAATCACATGAGATTTTTCACGTTTTTTTTTCTGAACCAAAACTGGTCAACTTTGGATCAAATAGATATCGATAAAGATGGGTTTTTGATCGATTAACCCCTACAATTATACTATATTTTACAAATGTATTTTTGTGGTGTTTATTTATTTTTTCGGGAAAAGTTCACAAATGCCCTTGTAGTTTATTTTAGAATCATTTATGCCCCGTATTTATTTTTTTTATCACATATGTCCATGTGTTTGTAAAAAGTAAAAAATCGCAGGGGCATATGTGATAAAAAATATCCTTTTGTAAACCATAGGGACATATGTGATAAAAAATCACAAGAGCATAAGTGATTCTAAAGTAAATCACATGAGCATTGATGAACTTTTCCCTATTTTTTAATTATCATTATTCATTATTTCCTTAAAACTTTGGTTGATTCTTCAAAGATTTATTTTTGAAGTGGAAGCAAAAATTGGATCATGATTATGATCTTTAAAAAAAAGAATGGGGGCGGCGCCCCCGAACCCCCGCCCTAATTGTGCAGACATAAAGAAAACTTTCTGAGTCCGCCACTGACATAAACTCTTGCAATACATATTTAAAATATTTTTTCACTATTGGATTTGTGATATTTAGTCTATTTAAAAATAGATTTGATGTTTCTTATGTTATAGGAGATAAAATTATCTTCTACTTATATATAGAAATATGTGAGATCCATGTGAAAAGAAGAGAGATAAACAAATATAAATTTTACATACTTTTATGAGTACACAGGAGATAATCTCATTCAACATAAACGCTTTAAAAATAAGGCTATTACCATTGAGCACATGGATCAATTTGAAGGGATATTCCAACTTAATCAATAATTTTGAATTTAATTCTTAAAAACACAATTATGTTAAAATTTGGTAGGAATGATGATAATATAAAAAAGAAAAAAATAAGCCTGTTGATTAATGGTAGGTTTTGTGATTTATTTAAAAGTCTATCTTTAAATAAGTTAAATTATACTTTTAAAAAGGTTAAATTAACTCAGACCTTTAAAAATAGTCATATGTTAGAAAGAAGATAAATTCAAAGTTTATATTTTAAAATTAACGTGACCTATTGAAATCCTAACCTGACTGACGTAATGCGTTTCCCACGCTTAATTCCAATATGCATATAAAGGAGGAAGAAAAACTTTAAGTAATCGTAATTACGGAACTCGGTGCTTTTTTTTATAATTTTTTTTTTTTATCCATTTTTTTTTTAAGTCCAAATTTTTTCTCTATTTGATAAAAGGAAGTGCCAAGTTCAATGGTCTCGACTAGGGTTGCCAAAACGGGTCAACCCGGCCCAACCCGCATACAACTCGAAAAAACGAGTTGGGTTAGGGTTGGCTCGAAAAAAAAACGAGCCAAAAAACTCAACCCAACCCAACCCGAGTCGGGTTAGGGTTGGCTCGCGGGTTGACTCAAAATATGGCTCGTGAGTTGGCTTGAAAAAATAGCTCGCGAATTGGCTCGAAAATTGGGTCGCAGGTTGGCTTGTTTTCAGCTCATTTAAATGAACATGTAGTATTAATACACCAGCCATGTGGCTTCCATAAGCTTAAACAAAGGGTTACAAAATGAGAAATAAAAGCAAAATATTTTAGTTTCTAATTTTTTTCACAACAAATTTACATCAACATCAAGAAACAATCAGAACCACTTACTACCAAGTGGGTAAGATATTTGAACCAAACAAAGCCAACACAGCCTAACAATATAAAAATGTTAGGGATGTGATAAGATTAAGGATTTAGGTTTAGACATGGAAGAAAGACGATGATAGCATGTGTGGATTTTGTATTTTTTTTTTTTTAAAAAAAAACTCAACCCGCGAGCTGGCTCGTTTGACCCACGGGTTGGCTCATTTTTTTTCCGAGCTGGCTCGGGTTGGCAGCTTGTTCTTGCCAACTCAACCCATCTCGTTTTTGACGGGTTACGAGTCAACCCGATGGATTGACTCGTTTTTGCCATCCGAGTCTCGACATATTATAATTTTTCTAGCAAGTACGAGTGAAACTTTAGTGCCATCGCTGCATCATACAACGGTCTAAAAAAAAGAAAAAAAATAGAATTTAAATGAAAATAAAGATAAAAACAAAGATTTAAATGAGAAGAAATTTTTTCCTTTTTGAAAAAATCATATACATCCGACGTAGTGAAAAAAATTCGAGAAAGCAGAAACACACGTAAAAAGGTTGTGGTCAGAAATTTTTAAGATGCTAAGGTCGCACCACTGAACAAGTGCAACGGATCAATCCAACTGGGGAGAAGATGTATGATGGTACCATTTTTTAAGTGATTCTTTAGTATAAATAGGAGGATAAAATTAAAAAATAAAACAAGTAGCAAGGGTAGAAAAAAAAATTAGTGTTGTGAAAATGAACATCAAATTATTAGACGATCCTAGACCATAAAAAATATTTCTCAATTGTGAGTGAAGATGTGCAGGTTGTGCACTAGAGAGAAAAAAATTAATCCAAATATAAACTTTTTGAATAAAAATAGCACCAACGAGACAACGACCGATGCACCGAAAAATCATTAGCTGTGGCCTTGTGGGGTCAATGCAAACAATGCAAGTATGCAACGAATGAATACTAAAAAGGGAAGTCAGCCACGTCATTTTCCAAATTATTGATTAGTTAAACAAACAGAATACAAAAATAAAACAAGTTAAACAAATGAAAATATTTTATATCAACGATTACAATATTATTATTTGATAATAATTAGAACAAAGCTAAAAAAAGTTAATATTTACCAAAAAAGAAATTATTAAAATTTTATAAAATCAAAGTAAATTCAGTAGTAATAATTAGATGAAGAAAAATGATAAATATCACTCACTTAATTTTAAAGTCCAGAAACATTTTAAATATGTGTTAAAAATGGTAAGATATGAGTTTTGGTTGTCTAACAATTTTTATTAATATTGAATGGGATCCCCTACGTCATCACCCGGTACCAAGCGTTCCATAATTTCATTTCCTTTTGTGGAGAATAAATCATTTTATGTTAAAATTTTGGGTTAGGTTATATATATGGGGTGGTTATATTTATCACCAGGTAAGTTTATTATCCTTATAACCAATTTCCTAACTGTCTGATTAAAATTAAATCTAACGGTTCATAACATTCTCTTATAATCTTAATTTTTACTCTCTCATCCTCTTTCTAAGTTTGGGATCTGCACACACCTCTTTCTCTCCAAACGAAAAAAGAAAGAAAAACAAAAAAAAAAACCCAAGTAACAAACATTTAATAACATTTACAGTAAAAAAAAGAAAATTAAAATGGAAAAAGAAAAACGAAAAGCAGAACCGTGTTAATAACAAAATTGAATCAAGGAAAGTGAGAAATGAACCCAAGGTAACAAACATCTTGATCCTATATTATAAAAAACGATGCAATGCAATCCTCATAATTTTATTTTTTGTTAATTTTTCTTTTGTTTTTAATGGAGAATCGAAGAATCAGAATTAAAGTATACAGAGACACACAAATAAACAATTAAGAAAGAAAGAGCGAGAATGAGAAGGGAAGCCTGTTGAATAAATCGATGTGCAGCTAGTTCAGATATCGAATGTGAAGAGAGGATGAGAGAGGGTATGAAATCTAGAGAGAGAAAGACAAAGAGGTAATGTGGGAGAAAAAATTAAGATTATATGAGATAATTATGGACCGGTGGATTTAATTCTGATCCGACGATGATGATATTGGTGGTAAACTTAGGGAACGTATCAACTTACCACCAAAAAAGTTTACAACTCTTACAACCAATTTAATCACCGTTGATTTTCGTCAATCTAACGATTATAAATTAATAACATTTATTGTGTCACATTTATTAATTCCCAATAAATTATAACCGTTAGATTGATGGAAATCAACGGTGATTAAATTGGTTGTAAGAGTTGTAAACTTTTTTGGTAGTAAGTGGATCCTCCCTCGGTAAACTTATCTGATGGTAAGTATAACCGTCCCCCATATATATTTACAAATTCTTACCAATTATACTATGTATTATTGGGAATATTTTTCTAGCCGAGTCTATTCCTTAAAGAGTGAGAATATTCTAACTACCAAAAATTCTTACTACTAACTTACTACCCATCACATCACCATTGGATCAAAGAGAGAATGTTAAAAAGTTTTTGAAGAGAGAGAAAATGTTAATCTAATAGTGATTAAATAGATAGTAAGTTGGTAGTGAAAATTTTTGGTAGTAAGAATATCACTCCTCCTTAAAAAAAATTACATGATCTAGTTATATAAATTTTTTATACTTATCTCGTATTTTATTAATAATAATTGAACCACAAGATGTGAAGAGAGAAGTAGCCACATAAATTTCAAATATTCATTGCTTACTTTTTCTGATGGTGCTATTTATTATTCCAACATCAGCAGAATAGAGACGCAAAGGTTTCTCCTAAAATGTTGTGTGTTCTGTGTTCTTTCTCATTTCTCTCTACGTAAATTGGTATGTCTCAGCATAATCAGTATTACTCTCTGCGCAGCGGAGGATGTGAGAAATTAAGAGCTATATAAGTGTTGTGTTGGTATTGGAACTTGGAGTCTTTGCAGGAACGTACTTTCTCTTTCGGATTAGAGGTGAGTTTTTTTTTTTCTGCAACTTCCTTGTGAATTGTGATTCTTAAATGTTGAATTCAGTTTTCTGAGTTCTAAGAATAATTATCTTGCAAATTAATTCGAATTATGCTATACGAATTCTAAGCATATTTCACTTGAAGGGATAAAGGAGCGATTACGATAGCAACCTACTCTTGACTTCATATAATGTGAAATATTATTTTTGTTTCTTTTTGTTGTATCGACAGTATTCACCGCATTCGCAGGCTCATTAATAATAATAATTATTATTATTTTTGTTTCTTTTTTGTTTTTTTTTTCACCCCATTCTTTCTTCTATGTATTGTGTCTGTTTTTTAATTTATCATCATATGAATAATAATAATTTCCTTATAATTCCACACCTTACAAGATTTATTGACTTTGCTATTGGACAATAAGTGCCATTTGAGAGAAATCTCCTTTCTCTCTCTGAGATTTTGTAAAGGTGGCTTCTCCTTCTTTCTCTCCGGCGTGCAGCTTGTGGTTTTTTCTTTTTCCGATACAAACTTCAATCTTACTATTGAAGGTTTTCTCATAATTCTTTTAAAATGTTATTATTTTTAGAATAAACGTATAAGAATGTATGTTTTCCTAAATTTCATGATTTAAAATTTTGATACACTTAAAATTGAATAATATTAATATATTGTTACTTATTTACTTTAAAAAATATTCATTTTGATAGTAGAGGTGTTGAAATTTATATTTGAAAAAAGTGTTTGTTATTTTAAATGACATAAATTGTGTTATTTCATAGACACAAAGAAATTGTGTCCCAGAAAAAAAAATAAAGATGTGGATCTCTTTTTTTGTGTTTATAAAATGACATAATTTGTGTCATTTAAAATGATATACATTTTTTCTTTTATATTTTATTTAAAGTTTAAAAAATTTGTTTATATTTTTTTTTCTTTCAAAATTGACAATGAGATATTCAAAATAAAAGGGAGAGAAGTATAATTTTTTAAAGTAAAAATGACAATTTTTCATTTATTGAAATTGTATTTTTTTTTTTTTTGATAGACTATTGAATTCTAAAATCATGAAACCAGATTGATTTTTTGTTTTTTAACTTTTACAAAAGGGCGTTAGTTAAGTCATCAGGTTGGGCGGTGGTGAGTGGAGACCAAGTCATCAGGTTGGGCGGTGGTGAGTGGAGACCTTTCTGCTGTACCATGGGATAATAGTAGATAATAGGGTGGTGGCAATTTATGATGCACCGACACGGGATATGGAACACGATATGATATGACACGCTGACACGTTAATTTCAAAAAATATTAAATTTTGACACGTTAAGACACGTTTTGATATTAATAATAATTTTAATATATGTGATATAATTTATATTTAATACACTTATCAAATACGCAAGAAAATATAAAAAGATAAAAGTGGGACAATCTCTCTCGTGGCTGGCACTTTGCCTCCATTATTTTTGAGTTTTTTTTTTAATATCCCAATCTCTCTTGTGGATGGCATTTTACCTCTATTGTTTTTGGATTTTTTTTTTTAATATTCCAGTTTTTTGGTTTTAGACGGAAAGAGAGAGAGAAGCTACACGTATAGCCCAGCATCAAATCTCTTCTTTTGTCTTCCATTTTACTGAGTTACTATTTAACTGTCATTTCTTTGTTGAACAACTTCTCTTTCTTTCATGGTCATACTCACACCCACCCTTCTCATTTCTCTTTTCAATCACACTAAGGTGGTGTTTGATTAGGGGTTTTGTTGAAGAAACCCACGCAACTTTCACGTGGATTTTCACTTGACCATGTTTGGTTCAACAGGTTTTGACCAAAACTCATCTATATGAAATGCCTGGCTTTTTTAGAAAGATAGTAATTTGCACTGTTTAGAAACCCGATTTGAGGGTGATTTTTTAAAAAAATCCGGGTAAAGCACTATTGACACACTTTTTGTCATATATTTTCCTGATAAAATTTTGTCAAACCAAACTACTTTTTTTTAACTTCCCCATCTATTCAACTTTTCTTATGGATACCTAGTAATTACATTTCTCTATTATTCTTAAAATTTATCTTCAACCAAACGCCGCCTAAATAGACTCTAGCCACCACATATCTTGAGTTAATGGGTTTAGAAGCTAACAAGAAAACCACCACCCTCCTCAATAAGAACGACGAAGAACAACACGAGGAAGAAGGCTGAAGCAGAGGGCTATGGCGACGGAGCTATGTTTGTGTCTTTCTGTTTTTTTTTTTTAGAATTATTTTAATTTTATAAAAATTTCAAAAAAATTACAATTTTGCCTTTTTCCTTCCTGTGTCAAATTCGGTCAAATTCGCGTGTCAAAATAGATAACGTGTCCTAAAATATTGATCACATGTCGAACGCGTGTCTATCTCCAACACGTATTTTTTAAAAAAAACTGCCATGTCCGTGCTTCACTGGTGACAATTAGACACGGATGTACCTACGGATTTACCTTATGTGATGGTTAAAATTTATCAAGGAAGTGTTTGCTAAAAGAGAAAAAAAATTTATGTTTGAAAATTGTGATTATTAGAAATATGTCGGGAAAATTTGGGAACGTGACTAAAAAATTGTCTGATAGATAAAAATATTATCAGAAATGTTAACTCAAATTTATTAATTGTATGTTTAGTTAATTATCAAATATTATTAAAAATATATTATGATTTTAAAAATTGCATTGCTAACGCTAGCGGCATCATTACTATCCTATTAAAAAAATTCGCTTGCACCAAACATGGATAAGTAAATTTTTCAAAATTACTTTCCCAGAAATTAAAAAAAAATCCTTCTAACAAATTCCTCCTAATAAATAAAGGGATAGGAAAATAAGTATACAGTTAAAGTTGGAATCAAATATTTACGTCACCTTCAAGTTATTTTTGGTCGGGCCATCTAGATTCTATTGAGCTACCCATCCAAGGGTTTGCCGTTTTCGCACGAGTTCGTGGCAAAGTTTCGTGGTCATTCTTTTGCAGGATTAATATTTTTAGGAGATAATTTTATCTTCTATATACATATAAAAATATATAAGATGTGTGAAAAGAAATAAGAGAAAAAGAAAATGTGAATTTCACACACACTTTAATATATGTATAAAAATAATTTTATCTCCTATAACATAATCAATATCAAACCCTTCTTTACCGGCCTAGGAATGTCTCTTGACCACGTGGAATTTTATTGTTGCTTCAAACTCCCTCTAAAGTCGTCTTCCCGTTTTCTTAATTATCTGTATTTTGATGAACAGTAATGGCAAATATATGAATTTAATTTATATTGTATGCTTTCCTCTTAGGTATAAATTCCCTCTTAGGCTTGACTAATTTATTCTGGTATAAGAACAAAAAAGTTTTGCACATAATTTTAGTCATTGATTCACTTACATCTTTATTCACCTATCTAATAAATTAAAGCCCTTGGATCCAAGTTAGATAAATGACTAAAATGTAACCTAAAAATTTGTGGAAAGTAATTAATGGTTATATTTGAAAAGTAAAATGCTTTATTGCGGAGCTAAAAAGAAAGGGAAAAAGATAAAAGCTTTTTCTAATTCCACTATGGCTATAATATATACTCGTATGGATTGTTTAGTATAGCCATCCAGGTTTTGCACCGAAAATGTCTCCTTTTACTGATGCCGTGATTCTCCTTCTTTAACTCTTTATTCTTCTCTCCCTTCTCTCTCCGCATTTCATAATCTATTGGACACACTTAACTTATTCCTAAAGTCATGTTCTAAGGTCAAGAGAGGAAGCATGTGGATTCTATTGTACGAGATATGCTTCAAGAAAGTGTGCTCAGAGCATTGACCAGTGCTCTATTACCACCACTGACACCCACCCACACCCTAAAAAAAAAAGGGAAAGCAAGAGACACTTCATACACCACAACATAAGCATTCATCTTATTCATGATGGGATCTTTGGAAGTGTACAATTCACTTAGTTATATACATATGTTGTCTGCTGAGAATATGCACCAGTGCAACAATATTGACCATTAAATTAGATATAGAGATTTCACCCAAAGAAATAGAAATCATGACTTTTGGACCAAGATATATAGTGCTATTATGTGAATATTTATCTAGAATAATGCTGCTTATGCTACACAAGAAAGTAATGGTTCTGTTTCCCTCTCTAATTAGACTTTTTTTTCACTTTGATAAAGGAAAAACTAGGCAAGCTGTTAACTGAAGAAGTTGATTGAATGGCAAAAGTTTGTTGGCCATATTTTGATCCCGAGTATGAGAACTTCAGCAATAGAATCAACCCTCCAAGGTTCACTGTTATCTTCCCTCTAAATACAATTTTTGTTTTCTTTTTCCAAATGATCTTCAAATTATTTAGACTCTTTAGGAAAAAGCATGAAATATAAAGGATTGTTTAAGCATAATATGACGATTTTTAGTGTTGGCATTCATGGATATTGAAACATTTTCAGATTTTCCTATGTTCTTAACTGCTTTAATGCAGTCTTAAAAGTACAAAAGGAAAAGAACAGCACAAAATAAAATTAAAAGCTTCTTTGATTCCTAACTAGTCATTGTTATAAGGAAGATGTCATGAGTTGAATCCCTATTGGAGTCAAGAGGTTAAACTCTTAGAGGAATTGGGGTTTATGGTGGGAATTTCTGATACCTAGAAGAAGTGACTCGTTGTTGTGAACTCTGTTTCCACTTCGCAGGGTCTCTGTGGACAATGATAGTTGCCATGATTGTACACTGATCAAGGTATAATTTCTCAAAATAGTTATGATAATTTTCATGACCTCGTTGTGACTTGTGAGTCCTGATTTGGCCGCTGAGCATCTTAGGAAACCTAGCCCGTATGGACTTTTAAGTTGCTTGAACCCTATAACTTTTTTTTTTTTTTTTTTTCAAACTTCATTGAATTTAACTTCAGTTTTTAGGGATGTATCTTTCTCACGTTACATCAGATAACATACCTCTCATATTCATACATCAAAAATTGTACAAACATTTATTTATTTTTGAAAGAGTGGACTCTACGTACTTTGTGTCTATGACATAAGATAACAAGTCTCCTATAACATGAGATTTGTATTTCCCTTAGTTTTATATGATGAATGAGATTTTATGAGCCTCATTCAGACAGGAGTCTTGTTAAAACCTCATTCATTCAATTGGTAAAAGATTTCTCTATTCCTTTTAAATTGTGCAAAACATCAGGATACCCCGAATGACCATCATCATCAGATCACCTTTTTTCCCATAGTTACTAAAATAAATAATTAACATGGAGATAAGATTATGCAATATCTAATGGATTCTTTTTTTTCCCCACACAAAAAAAAAATGCAGTTTGATAGTGTTAACAAACCTGGAATTCTGCTGGAAGTCGTGCAAATCCTGACAGACCTTGATTTCATAATTACCAAAGCTTACATATCTTCTGATGGTGGATGGTTTATGGATGGTATGTTTACGATTGAATTGAAACTTGAATCGGTAATGCATTTACTACACAGATGTGTCGTGTTCGTGCTTGTTATTAGCCTAATTAAAAGCTGGTAATTATTGAGAACATTGGTTGCTAACAAGATGCTCTTCATTATTTTTATTTTTCTTTTGACTACAGATGAAAATGTCCATGAAGTATTTCTTGTGTCTTTGCATCTTTGAGCCACAAAGATGGAAAATTCATTGTTTATTAAATTCAGTACTTGGACAGCAAACTTGTAGTTCTTATGGACATAGTTACTCAAACATTGTCTTGGAAATGAATTTGAGATTAGTTTCATTCCTAAACCCTTATCTATATTTCCTCTTTCTCAAGTATACACAGACACAAATTCATGCTTATATGTGCCTGAACACTCCCTATTCAAACTAGTAGTTAATATGTTTAACTAATGGAATGAACAGTATTTCATGTCACGGATCAACAAGGAAAGAAGATAACCGACAGCAAAACTATTGACTTCATTGAAAAGGTATACATCTCCCTTCTCCTCTATAATTATCTGATATACTCATATAGTATAAGATATGATAGCAATCTAACCATCATGTAAAAAGATCCAAATTACTGATTTAATAAATTGAAATAGCACAACCATTTTAAGAGTAACTTAAATATGCTTTGTCTCTGTCTTAGGAAAGGACCATACATGATTGCCAATTCTTTTGTTCATTCAAAAGCAATGTTAGTAGTATAAACCAGATACTAAGGTTCACACTTCACACCATATTCGAAATCAGTTTCAAATGCACTTCCATACTTGGAGAGAAATTATAAACTCACCTAGGAACTTCCACACTCATTAGGAAATCCCCTAGTCATATTGCTCATAAATCTAGAAGAAAGAATTGATTAGGTTTATTAGAGATATATAAATCCATTAATGTAACTTCACTTAACAGCTTAAGCTGTAAAGAATCAATTCAATCTAAAAGCTTAAGTTTTTGAGTTGAATTAATTGTTTACATGGTATCAAAGACTCGGTGTCCCGAGTTCAATCATTGCCGCCCTCTATTTTCTTTGTGGAATTTCTAAGCACAAGTAGGCTAGGCCTTATGTATCATCCATCTTTCAAGCTCAATAGTCTCTCTTGTGAGAGGTGTGTTAAAGATATATAAATTCATTAATGTAGCCTCACCCAACAGTTTAAGTTTTTGAGTTGAATTGGTTCTTTACAAGGTTCATGCTTGTAGCTATCTTTCCATTTCCAAAATTACCTATAGCAGTATTGCACCTATGTACATACACATCAAATACTAAGAATTACTTGTTAACATTGCTATAGGCTTTAGGACCAAAGGGAAAGAGCACAGAAGGGGTGAAGAGTTGGCCAGGCAAACGGGTTGATGTGCATTCTGTTGGTGAACATACAGCCATTGAGCTCATTGGTAGAGACCGTCCAGGTCTCTTGTCTGAGATATCAGCTGTCCTTGCAAGCCTTCAATTTAATGTGATTGCAGCTGAAGTTTGGACTCATAACAGGAGAATAGCTTGTGTTCTTTATCTCAATGATGCTACAAGCCAAGCTGTGGATGACCCAAAAAGATTATCTATTATGGAGGAGCAACTCAACCACATCCTACGTGGTTGTGAGGATGATGAGAAAGTGGCTCGGACCAGTTTCTCCATGGGTTTCACACATATGGATCGGAGGCTCCACCAAATGTTGTTTGCTGACCGAGATTATGAAAGTGCTGGAGCAACAACAACAGATGTTGATTGTCCTCCCTCTTTCAGGCCAAAAATCAGAATAGAACGTTGTGAGGAAAAAGGTTATTCAGCTGTTAGTGTGAGATGCAAAGATCGGGCAAAATTGATGTTTGACATTGTTTGCACTCTCACTGACATGGAGTATGTTGTTTTCCATGCCACAATATCTTCGGAAGGGCCTTATGCATCCCAGGTATACATCATTTCTTAACAGTATATGTCATTCTCTATATTTTAATTTACTAATCACAGATGCACATTTATGCATTATTGTTTAACTTTTAGGTTTGGTCTGCTAACCCAAATCTTAAGGGTGCAATTAGTAGTTTGTAAGAAATTTGTCAAGGATTTATAAATCGTAGAAAAACATGAAATTCTTTGTGGAGAATTTGTGACTTCAAGTGGCCAAAGGAAGGAAGAAATTGAATTATATTTTTTTATACAAAACTAATTTCTTGATCCTTGAAAATTTCATCCTTTCTTTGCTTCTAATTTTCTGGACTGAATCCTGACATGTATAAATTTGCTTCAATTGTGTTGTCCTATGATATTTGAAGCATGTAGGGTGTAAAAAATGGGCTAGTTGAGAAAATTCATACAAGGAATTAATTTAGAAAGACCAAATTATGAAATGTGGACTAAACTATTGATGTGGTAATTTTAGGAGTACTTTATTCGGCACATGGATGGATGCACTCTTGATACTGAAGGGGAGAAAGAAAGGGTCATCAAATGCATTGAAGCTGCTATTCAAAGAAGAGTAAGCGAGGTAATGTGCAGTTTAAAATTGATTTCCGCATGCTACTTTAACCCTTACAAAAATAGAAGACAAGGATGAACTTCTGGTTCAAAACTCATAGTAAGTCTTTCCAGCTCTACAAAGGAACTTGGATTCTTGAGATGGTTTTCCATTAATCTTTATTTTAAGTATCTTATCTAGTGAGTTAATTTTCTCTTGACATGAATTCACCCCAGCTTCATATATCTTCTTCTAATGTCACCGATCTACTATTCTTTTTCTGCTCATTTTCTTTCCCTCTTTCTTTCTGTGTATGTAATTCTACAGCAGAAAGTCTTCTGAGTTTAACCGAGTTAATACATTTTGCACCTGCAGCTATCTACTTGTATTGTTGCGAATGGTACGGCAGATACATGAGGCTATGTTCCACTCAGATTGTATCTGACCATCGTATCCACTAATGAATCGGTGACAATGATGGTCTTTTGTCTTCAATAGAGCTTAAGAATCTATATTATCCACGTAATATCATCCTCATCCTTATAACCTTCAAATAAAAAAAGTTTAAAAAGAAATACATATAAAAGAAAAGTTAAAGTTTCATCATATGAAAATTGAGTTTATGTAACAAATGTCACTTTATCAGTCACATGCTGGTGTACAAGTATATTATAATCTTCTCTAGTTGACATTTTATTCATACAATTAATTAATCTTCAAGAAATAGAGAAGATCATATATAGTCTTGTTACCATTGATCCTCTGGATGATGGACACAGGGTGTGAGCCTTGAGCTGTGTGCAAAGGATAGAGTTGGCTTGCTGTCTGAAGTAACTAGGATTCTACGAGAGAATGGCTTAAGAGTTTGTAGGGCAGGTGTATCAACCATAGGGGAGAAAGGACTAAATGTTTTCTACGTGAGAGATGCATATGGAAACCCAGTGGACATGAAGATCATTGAAGCACTACGTAAAGAAATTGGCCAAACAATAATGGTCAATGTGAAGAAGGAACCAGCCAACACCACCAAAGCACCAGAAACCAGAGGATGGGCTAAAACAAGCTTCTTCTTTGGGAACTTGTTGGAAAGGTTCTTGACTTGAGAGTTGAGAATCATGCTGCTGATTCTTGTTGCTTCTTTGCCAAATGACACATTACAATGTATAGATAAGAATAAAGCTGTTGTGTGTCAAACTTGGACAGTGCTTGAACTTGGTCCTTTTGTTTTAGACCAATGCTTATATAAGTTGTATTCCTTGTCCTACTTTTATGTATCCCATTTTAATTATCATATCCTTTATGGCATGTTTGGTGCATAGTATAGGATAAAGCCTGATGGTATAAGACCTGATTAAATTTTAATACTATCCAGCGTTTGGTATGGCATCGTATAAGATAATATCCTCTAATATTTTAAAAATTAATATATTAAAAAAATTATTTTAATATATTAATATTGAAATTATATATTAGTTCTTGAGAATTGTAATTGTAAGCAATATTAATACATCAATCCCTTATCAGGCCTAATCCATCCCCTTAGGCCGGATTAAGTTAAACATCATTTTGATGTATTAAGGGGTTATGCTGTATAAGCTTATACTATACGATGATTACACCAAATAACTAAAAATATCATAATGTATAGTATAAGCTTATACTATCAAGCCTTATACATCACACTAAACAGGCCCTTATGACTTTACCTCTCTCTATTTCAAACTTGGACTGTGCTCATATATATATGGAATAAGATCAATTAATTTATACTGGTATAAAAATAATAAATCTTCCACTCAATTTTAGTCATTGATTTCCGTACGATTGTAATTTATTATATTATATATACAAGAAAAATTGTATATATCAATATATAGGAAGAAGAATTATTCTCGTTACATAGTGAGGACATGTAAAAATTAAGCTCAAAACTTTAGCTAACCAGCATTAGCTTTTTCTACTACTATAGTACCGTTTTATTTGTCTCTGAGCATTGCTATTTACTAGAAAGAGGGGGCCACTTGCAGTCATGGGCTTCATTAGTAGCCCAATTACAAAACCAAGAGCGAAAGATAGAGAGGCCTTATTATTGACAAATACATGATGTCACTCACAATGATATTCACCTTCAAAACCAGAACTTGGATTTATTCTGTGCATGCTACCTGTCCTCCTGTGGAAATTGAAAGTTTTGTGATTAAAACATTGGTATGATTAGAGTTTAATTAGATACGTACTTGTATTTTTCTCAATTGGTAAGCTTCTCATGACCACGGTTTGGAATGATATCCAATTATAATATTTGGTTATATATGGTTATCATAAAATATTATTTTTAGTAATATAATGAGTAAATATTTAGTTTAGTTCTTAAATGTGGGAATAATATCGGTCATATTAATTCTTAAAAGATGAAAATTATTACTGAAAATCTGAAATAAACTTTTTGCCAGTCAAATTAGTCATATATGCCTTTAACTTAGAAATGAAGTATATTTTATGTACCTATATATGTCATAATTTTATTTTTTTAGCAATTAATGTGACTGACGTTGTATTTTTTAGGAATTCATTTGAGTAGGGGTGTAAATAGGCTAGGTTAGGCTAAGCTAGACTTTGGCTTAAATAGGTCAGGCTTGTGTAAAAAATATTGGATATGGTCTGGCCTATTAGCCTGTGTAGGCCTCAAATTACAAGTCTGACATGACCTATATTTAAAAAATAATAGTCTTGGCCTAGGCCTGTTAGCCTGTTTAAGCTTATTAAATATTCAACAATTAAAAGAATAACTAAAATAATATTATTTTATTATTCAAAATTATTAAAATAATAATTTTATTTATTATATTTTAAATAAATAATATGATATAGGCCGGTCTGTAGGCTTATAAGCCGGACATGTATAAAAAAGTCTATGGCCTATTTTCTAAATAGATTTTTCTAAAAGTCTAGGTCTGTTCTATTTTACTATTTATAATAGGCCAAGTCTGACCTAATATAGGCTAGGCCATAGGCCCCTGTAGGCCGGCCTAGCCGATTTACACCCCTAGATTTGAGTATTTACTCTAATATAATTAATCTTTAACAAATTATGGGAAGGGGAAAAGGGCATAACATCTAGGGGTGTAAATGGGCTAGGCTGGCCCAGCCTAGCCTACGACTCGGCCTATTGAGCCCAGCCCAGGCCCGGCCTTTCAGAAAAGTAGAGTAGGCTTAGGCTTATAAAAAAGCTTTTTTAATAAATAGGCCATAGGCCAATTTTGTCAAGCCCAGCCTACAGCCTTGTAGGCTGGCCTATTTAATTTATTAAAATAAAATAATAAAATAATATTATTTTATGTGACAGACACAAAGTACCAAATACCAATATCTCTTACTTTTTGTGCTATTTTATTTTATGAAAGGAAAATTTGTCTAATGTCTCCAAATTTTACATGTTGTTGCAGCTTAATACCATGGAGCAATGGGTACTTGCTGGATTATGATATTACTGATGAAGATCTTTCAATAATACTCTTCTTTCCCTTGTGTTGATGGTGGTTTAAAGATTTTTAGATGAATGACATTCTCTTGTAGACTTTATTTTAGCATCCAGTATTTGTATTTTTCTTATTTTCCCATTTCTTTGACTCTATTCCTCTATGATATACATTCTAGAGCTGAGGTATTATGTTGACTCTTTCTTGTTTGTCATTTTTTTCATATGAGAAGTACTAGTGCATGCATGAATGGAACTTTCTTTGCTCTATACAATTATTTTTTTTGCTTAGTGTATATAGTGGGAGGCCTACAAGGCCTGTAGGCCATGTCAGGCTTCCTTATTTTTGAAAATGGGCCGGCCTTGGCCTACAAATAAAGCCTTTAATAGGTCAGTAGGTCAGATAGACCGAATTTTTTCTGACATAGGCTTGGGCCAGGATGGCCAAAGCCCAGCCCAGCCCATTTACACCCCTAATAGCATCTACCTTGTGAAGGATGAAATGCTACCCTTGAGGTTTCACATAATATAGGGCTACAAACTTTGATTAGGGACCAAAATAGGACAATGAGAATCCGAGTTAGAAAACAAATGGACGTATAGTTGGATCCAGAAAAATATTGTATTTAGGAGTTTGAGTTTTGAGAAAGAAAAAAATAGTTTTTATAGAACTGTTCTTAATGTGGGTTTGACGGATTTGGAATTGGACTCATTGATAAACAGGGTGGGAAATAAAATATATATATAGATATAGTTAGTGAAAAAGATTATATTAAAACAATATTTAGTGACATTTAATATAGAATTCACACAAATAAAATGAAATTCTAACTATAATGAAAATTTGGTCAGACTTCAAGGATAAAAATACGATTCCAACTAAATTTATTTAGATTTTACATAAAATAGTTTTCTTTTACTTTCTATTTTTGAAAATAAGACAATCTTTGTGAAGGATTTCGATAACAATTTCAACATACAAAATAAACTAAATTAAACGCAATATAAAATACTTAAACAAATCTTGAACAATTATAAGGAGCCTAAACAAATCTTCGACTATTTAAATTATTTTAAAAAATTAATTAATTATTTCATTAGGTATATAACATAAGTCTAAGTTTACCAAAAAAAAAAGTCTAAGACTTAATATGATCAAAAGAATAAAACTCTATAGAGCCAAAACTGTCTCAGTAAAATTCGATTTCAAAATAAGTAGTCTCTTAAAGTGTACTATATCACTTTTAGGTTGATAATAATTAATATTTATTCATAGTATAGCGGAATATTTAGACAATTTAAATGTAACACACTCAATAAATTAAGAAATTACCCACTTAATATTAGGATTATGTTGCAAGAGACAATTTTGTCTCATGCACACACACAAATGGGTGTGATCCACTTGTTTGCTTTCTCTTCTTTTTAATGGGTCCGATCCACTTTTTTGTATGTAGAACGAGATAAAATTATCTCGTGCAACATGATAAATGTTGCCTTGCTAACATTTGTGCAAGTAATGCGCGCAAGTATACGCAACAACAAGTAATATAGGGTTGTTATAAGTCCCATTTATCCTTCCCACAAGGATCGTTGGCGTTTTGAAATGACTAACATTTGTAATTGCTTAAAACTGAATTACTATTTGAAAATATAAGAAATAAAAATTGTAAAGTATAAATAATCTAGAATGGACCTAAAACACTACTGTTCACTTTTCTTTTAAAATTTTCTGAATTACTTTCCTAAGTTATAAAATAAGAAGTAAGAATGAAGCAACTTAAATGACAGATGTGACAAAAAAATTTGGAAACAGAACAGAGATTGAAATATGAAATAACAAAGGAAATTGGAAATTGAGTTGATAAAGATGTTCAAAAAGGTGGGTTGAGTTCTGGCTCTCCTTCCCCACAGTGCTTGAAAAATAATTTGATTAACAAAAAGCTCATCCTAAGATTCTCATTTAACAGAACTGTATTGTTAATTTTAATCTCTTAAAAATTATTTTATCCCAAAATTGCCCACTTCCATATCTCTATGCCAAGTGGGATTATGACTCTTGAGACTCAGGTCCAATATTACATGAGGTCTCATTCATTTCTGAAATGAGATCCCTTAAATGATTTCTCATCTAAGTCTATGTGTCTAATGCAAAATCCAGAGTTAGTTGTTTCTCAACAACTAAATCCTAACCAAACCTCTGACATTCGGCCAAAATGCAGATAATTTTACACATTAGAAAAAGCATTAAACAACTGAGATAGAAAAATTAAAACCAGAAAACCAAACATTTAACAAGCACTGAAGTTTGGGTATCACCTAAACCCAACCTTTAAAAAGTTAGCCACTATCCATAGAGATGAGGCTTACAAACAGTAACAGAAAACTAAAGAAATTACAAAAGAAAAATGCTAGAAACTAAATTACAGCACTGGCCTAACAACCGGCAATCTCAGTGCTGTAAAGACATGCATCAAGTTCATCAGATGAACCAGAATCTCATTACAAAACAGAACTTAAAAGAAAATAAATTAAAATTGTTCAGACAACAATAAAACTAAAAACAGTAAATCAGAACCAGAGAGGAAAAACAAAAAACTCTCCATTGACTCACTCCTATTTTCCTTTTTATAGGGCTCATTTCCTTCTTTGCACGATTTTCCTCTCCAGCTCAGCAAGTGTCACGCGCTTCTCGCGCGTTGCAGGCAGGTGGTCCCCAGCAGCTCCCTTCTTCGCTCAGACAACCCGGATGGACTTGTTGCTCCTGCAACTCATACGTAAACTTGCGCCCAAAAATCGCTCCAACCTCCACTCT